CCCCGCCACCCGTTCCGTCCCCCACGCCTGGGACGCAAACCCTGGTCTCCAGCGTAACGCAACAGGGCACCAACCGCGTGAGCTAAAGGAGACCTCCCCCAGCCCAGGCGGCTGAGGTCCCTGACGTCACCACACCAGCTCCGCCACACAAGCAAGACTACTGTGAGCTCAAATAGCCTCCTACTGCAGCTTTCACTCACTTCCAGCAATACGTCATTACCTACAGCTAGCTGCCATTTATTATTCTGCATATTGTTAAGATATCCAAAAAAACAATTGAATGACGCAAGTGTCGATAAATGGACTCATAATTACAGAAAAGGTGTTTGTCAAGAAAAAGGACTGTGAATCACATGCTCAGGTACCGTGAGTACGACATAGCTGCAGTTATGCTGAAAAAATATTGCTCTGAGAAAAAAAAACTTTGACTGGACTAAAAAAACATGACTAAAATGCACCAAATTAACCAATTTAACGGTGCTGAGCTCTGAGCGTTCACACACCACTCACAGACTGGATTCCTGACTTACTGTCTTACACAAAGGCACCACTAGGCAGGCCCTCAAGTACAGACGCTGGGTTCGAAAACTCAATAAGTGACAACAGACCAAAAGGTCGGACTTACGTGTAAGGATACGGGAACGTTTCTAAGACCTACACTAGAGCATCACATCTATAGAAATAATATCCGAAAAAAACAGTCAGCAAAGAATTTAAAATGGTAGGTTTTGCTTAATTAATGTGTTAGAGTTCTCTAAACAAGCAACAGAAGGAATGGATACACACATTTGGTAATCATATCAATATAGCATTCATAAAATATTTTGATTTTATGAATGTGATTGATAAAGTTCCACAGGTAAGTTTTAAGATTGAGAAATGCTTATTAAATAGAAAAAAGGGTACAAATGAAGGATGAATTCTCCAATTGGGATTGAGTGCTAAGTGGAGTACCGCAGGTATCTCAACTAGGTCCACTGCTGCTCTTAATTTATATCAGTGAGCAAGATTCAGGCATAGTGAGTAAACTAGGATAGTTTGCAGTTGATGTTAAATTAGGACGATTACCAGGGAAAGCACCTGGCAGACGACATTTAATATTGAAAAGTGCAGGGTATTGCAAGCAGGTTCCTACTGTATAAATACTATAAATACAATATGGAAGACTCTGAGCTAGAAGAGGCTACTTGTGAAAATAGGTGTTTACTGTATGGTAACATCCATTATATCTTTTAAATAATGTGGGGAAGCAATTAAAAAAGAAACAAAATGCTAGGATGTACAGTAAGAACCACAGAATTTAAATCAATGGATGTTAACGTAGTATAACACACTAGTAAAGCTTTATTTAGAATGCCGCATTAAATGTTGGTCACCACATTATAGAAAAGCTTCTAATGCTCTGGAATCAGTCCAGGGAAGATCAGGCTGATACATTCCCAGGCACAAAGGAATGTCCTATACTGACAAGCTGGAACTGAACCTTTTGAACCCTGAACAGAGAAGGCTGCGAGGGGACCCGATACAAGTATTCAAATCCTCAAAGGGCACTAGGAAAGCCAGCACAGCGGACTTCTTCAGAGTGAGCAGCGAAACACGTACCAGGGGGCACCAGTGGAAACCAGCCAGCAGACAGAGCAGGTCAGGCAGCGAAGTGAGAAGTTACTCTATCAGTTGACTTCAGGAAGGCCAGACTGTGTCACACCCAATGTGGAATTTAGCCAAGACCACAGGACTGACCACTCTGGGGCCAAGGTTTCAATATTGGTCAGGTAGTCAGGACCTTCATTTAACCTCCAATTCAGAATGAGCAGTGAAACACTAACCAGCAGACACAAGTGGAAACTACATGGGAGTATATTTAACATGGACGACAGGAGACACTTCTTTACTCAAAAGGATGTCAGCACCTGAACACAACTATCCAGCCATGTTGTTGAAGCCCATACCGTGCTTTCTTTCAAGAAACAGCTGGAGGAGATCCTTAGATCAATTGGCTACTAA